ATAATTACATAAAGTGCCCAGGGCCTGCCACTTAAATCCAGTAACAAGAGTTGATGTCTTTTCAGATCCAGCTTAAAACAGGTAATTTTACCAAGAGCTCCATTCCTTAAGGGTGTTTGATTTCAGAGGAATTGCATAAGATAATTCTTATGTTTTCTCAAGTCTTTCTCATTGTTAAGCCCTTGAAAGCTCTGCCATTCAGTTTTTGAAGACAGGACGTTCTACAAGGTTCTGAATGGTGCATTTGCTGAACTGCCAGATATAGGTTTTCACAATCTGGCCCAACATGAAAACCAATGGTTTTAATTATGAAGCTTTCGCTATTCTGGACCATATCTTGCTGTAATTTTGCATGGAAAACCACCTTTGAAGTCAAAGAATAGTTTTGCGTGTAAGTCAATGTAAAGATATGGCAAGATGTGCATTGAACTAACTGAATTTCCTGGTTTCTGTGACTTTCTTTTATTGCAATTTGAATAGCTCTGAATGAAAGTATAAGATTTACTCTCATTATCCACAGATGACTGATTTGACACACTAGAATGACTCCCTTGGAAGTTGGTACAGCACTCCATATGTTTACAGTAGGAAGGTCAAAACTTACAGACCATTGACACAACATAGTATAACATAGCTTTTCATGCTAGCACAGGGTATTGCATCAAGGAATATTCTGGTCTGGGGACCCAGAACCATTCTGAACATCATCAATATTTTGATAAAAAGTTACCAATTGTAGGGGAAAAAACACTTTCCTGAAGCAATTCGCCCATTTAAATTTTGGAGGGGGCCAAAAGTTTAGTTCACATCATGAATTAACCACCCAGAAAATTACACATTATTTTCTTTTAAAATATCACAGAACTGCCAAAAGGGAGGGGAAAAAAACCAGGAAAAAAAGCAGTCCTTTAAGTTCTTCTTTACTGAATGCATGGGTTTCAATGTAAGGAAAAGACGCCCAAGCAGTGGATGGGATCCTGTATAAAAAGAGAAAGGAAGAGAGAGAGAGACAGAGACAGAAAGTAGACTGGAGAACATACACCAAGCATCTTGAACCATATAGTTCAACTTGCTCCTGGACCAACCTGCCTCAGTGCTAACCCAGAATGGACTGATCCTGGAGGTGAATGAAGAGTGAGTTTCCATGGCACATTTCAAGATTTGACCTGCCTGCTAGCAAGGGAACTGTCATCCAGTGTCAAGCGAGATGATGCTTCAAATGATGCAGACATCCTGTAGCCATGATGGTCAAGCTCCCTTGGCTGAACCACCATCACCATTAGTTAATGCTTCAGTCACAGTAGCCTTCCAAAGCCCCAAGCGGGATTAAGTGGTACAAGGTGCTGCACAGACCACAGAGGCAGACACAGTCCCCACTCCCAAGACTTTACAACATAAATGCTCATATAATCACTTGCGGCCACACCTAACATGGAGTTGAGCCAATAAATTAGCTGCACGGTCGATCCTGTGTCCCCTGCTCAGGGTGCTGCAACGATCTTTATAGTGGGAGGTGCTGAGAGCCACGGACCCTAACTGTAAACCCTGTATAGAATGGAAACCACTTCCAGCCATGCGATTCCCAGCACCCTTGTTCTAGTGCCCTTGCTGCCACTGTCAACATGAAACAGAACCAAGTTAGTGAGCCGCATGCAGCGTGTTAATTACCTATTACCCCAGTGATGTATCCTGCATCCTTCAGAACCTCAGCTAACGTAGTCTCATTGAGGGGGAGGCCACCCACGGATGTGACAGCAAAGTTGTGGGTCACTCCATTGCGAATGCCAAGCCTTCCTGTGAGCAGGGAGGCACGGGAGGGGGAACAAGTGGATGCAGCAGAGTGAAAATCCACAAATCTAGAAGAGAAAGAGACAGAAAGTACCTTAGGAGTTGTGCCTGCAAGGTCTGGCAAAGAGCTGAAAAAACTGCCTCTCTTTGCTGACAAAAACTGACAGGGACCCACATGCTGGGCATTGTTCCAGGAGCCCAGGGCTACAAACCACACACACGATTGCCATTTACTTACCACAATCACAAGTGCAAATGATTGTGCTGTCCATGTTAGTGGCCAAGAAGATGCCCTGTGGCCTGAAGATAGCTGAGTTGAATATTCCTACTACCATGAATCTATCTGGCTACGTCTACACTGCCCTCTCTTGTACAAAAAATATGCAAATGAGGCAAAGCGTGGAATATCACCGTGCCTCATTTGCATAATTAATGAGGCTCCATTTTTGTGCAAGAGGCTTTTGCGCAAAAAGGAGCTGTCTACACGGCTCCTTTTTGCACAAAAATTTCCTCTTGCACAAGAGCTGTTCTTCCGCTTTTTTTCAGGAAGCTCAGGGTTATTGCTACAATGCATTGTATACCCCGGTAAAAAGGTTATTAAAATCATTTTCCAGCTGAGATTTCTCTCTGGGTTCTTCACAAAAAACATGGTATGATTTCCTCTGTGATTACCATAAGTTGTATTTATCAATGGCCTTAAACACGAGACTCCTTATTTGAACCAGGACCTGCCTCTAAATATTTGCTGAACAGAAGAAAAGGCTTTACTGCTAGGCAGTTGGTTCATGCAAATATCTAGCAGGTGTTCCTAAACTGTAAAAACCCAGGTTCCCTGCCACACTGGCCTGAAGCTAACCAGTGTCAGCGTGAAGAACAAATATGTTGCAAACCACCAAAGTCCTAAGCAGTTATGCTCTGTTCACTGATTTCCTGAGCATCTGTGCAGGTTTTCCGATCTTGATGCTTAGTCAAGAACTCTTCCGTGGGTCACCACCTGCACCTTTGGGGGTTGCTGCTGCCGCCTGCAGACCCATGCCATACATAAGAAGGATACTGGGCACTTGTATCACCCCTTCTGTGGGAGTTCTCGAAGGTTTAACAGACACTAAAGCTGGAACTATCAATGGGGTCTTAGGAAGCTAGGTGCCCATCATCCTTTTGAAAATGCCAGCCTGGAAGCTCAGCATCACAACCCGTGTGGGGTAAGGAAGCATTATTCTCCCCCAGTTGCTGAGAGGGAAAGAATAGTGAGGAAAGATACTGCCCAGGGCCACCCAGAGTTTTGTTTCACATTCCTGGGCTTTAAGCACCCTCCCCGTTCCCCCTTCTCCAACCAGCTCATGGCTGACCTGCCTAATCCAGACCCTTTCTAAGGCAAATGCAATGTCTTTTGGCTCTTCATCCTTCTGGCCTGTGCCAGGGCCCCTACAGTGCCATGCCCAATCACCCCCAACTGGTGAGGCAAAATCCCTCCTCTTGCTATTTTGAGGGCATACATGATGTGACTCATGGACCGCCCTGGGCTGGGGCTGGGGGGTGTCTCAGCATTGCGATGAATTTGACCACAGGATGGTTCTCATGTGGGTCTCAGACAGGATGCACTGGCACGTACTGTTGCTGTAAGAACTAGTGAGAACCTCTGTTCATTTTACTGTTGGACACCTGCCATTTGGTATCACGCACTCAGAAGACTCAGGAACAGTCAGATGCCTCTTTGAGGCTTACCTCATTCCTTCTGAAGCCATCCGATCCAAGTTAGGAGTGTCTTTGGTTTCTGCCCAGTTCGCCCCAAGGTCCCCCCATCCCATGTCATCTGCCAAAATGACGATGAAATTCGGCTTCTCTGCGGTCCTCTTCTCACCCACACAAAGATCTGAGAGGTAATAGAAGAGCCCAGCTAAACAGCCAGCCAGCAGCAGAAGTGTTTTCAGGAACAAAATCTCCATGGTGCTGTGGGAATGCCTCCTGCAGACCTTTATTCGGAGTGAGTCGGTGGCAGTGGCTTATTCCTGCCACACGCTCATCTGAGAGCTCCCATTGTCATGCGTTCCTTAGATGTGATTCAGCTGTTCATTGCCACCCAAGGAGTCACGGTCTCTGGATGGTGCTCAAGAGATGAGCCACAGAACCACAGTACTGACTTGTGAGAATCTGGAAATCAATGGAAGCCTCTCTCTCTTTTCCATTGGCAAACAGCAGACATGCTAAGTGAGATCTTATAGGAAGTCACAATAGTCAGACTGTCATTTAGTAATTGTGGGGTTTCACTAAATATGCAATGAAAATGATAATGTCTTATTAACATATGGGTTTACTGGTTTTTCCCCAAGCTTCTTTATCCTGATTCCAAACTGTCTCCACGTTTTATAAATGACTTAGTCCCAGGAAGCATGACATTTAAATTACTGATGTTTGCAGTAGAACGCTCTAATTTGGCCTTCTAAAAAGGACGTTGTCCATTTTTCCAAAAGAAGAGACAAACGCCGAAGTTGAATGATGTTGAACTGTTCTTTCAATTCCATAAGGGAGACACCTTTACATTACTGCAAATGTTCCTAGGCAAGAAAAACAAAAGACTATTAACACTGGAAAGAGCTAGACCTTTTTAGACTTTACCCTAGTGAGCGTAAGAATTGTTTTTCTGTGGCACAGACATTTCCTTTGCTTTGCAATTTTGCTGTCAAATTTAAGGTGGTTGTAACTCCACTGATAACTACTCCAATGCCTGGAAACAAACAGGCTGTGTCTACACTGGCAAGTTATTCCGGAAAATCAGCCGCTTTTCCGGAAAAACTTGCCAGCTGTCTACACTGGCCGCTTGAATTTCCGGAAAAGCACTGAGGATCTAATGTAAAATCATCAGTGCGTTTCCGGAAAAACTATGCTGCTCCCGTTCGGGCAAAAGTCTTTTTCCGGAAAACTGTTCAGGAAAAGGGCCAGTGTAGCCAGCACAGTAGTGTTTTCCGCAAAAAAGCCCCGATCGCGAAAATGACGATCGGGGCTTTTTTGCGGAAAAGCGCGTCTAGATTGGCCACGGATGCTTTTCCGGAAAAAGTGCTTTTCCGGAAATGCTTTTAGCGGAAAACCTTTTCCGTTAAAAGCATTTCCGGAAAATCATGCCAGTGTAGACGTAGCCACACAGTGCCCATTTTCCCTAATCACCACGTATCAAACATACAGTCTATAATTGGATAAACAATCAAGCCCTATTTCTTCTTATACAATTAGGAGTTGAAGATCACTGGAGAGGTAATTTTGCCTAGATTTACCATGTGATCTCAGATTTGACTTTTGAGCATGAGGTCATGGGTTCAAAAAACAAATTAGATAGATTCCGGGCGGATAGGTCCATCAAAGGCTAAGAACTGAGATGGTCAAAGACATAACCACATGCTCTGGTTGTCTCTAAACTTCTGATTCCTAGTAGCTGGGACTGGAAGACAAGGGATGGATCACTTGTTAATTGCCCTGTTCTTTTCCCCCCCTGAAGATCTGGTACTGGCCACTGTCTGAAGACAGGACACTGGGGCAGATGGACCTTTGGTCTGACTCACTATGGTTGTTCTTATGCCATGTGGTGTTACTAATCTGCAGACAGGATTTATGTGCAGACTTTCCACCATTTTTAACAATTTACAAGGACTAAGCTCAGTTAATAAAACTCAGGGTTTTTTTTTTTTTTAAATTAATCTTGATTTACACTGAATAAACCCACTCCTCAAACAGAGCCAGGCTTCCTTGTGTGACACAGCATCTTATCCCAGGAGAAGTGCTGTGGATGTTAGTAGGGCCAGGCATGGAGTTCTCGCAATGCGACACAATCTACAGCACAGACAGCAGTGCTGGGCGCAGGGGAGGCTGGAGAAAAGCTAACGTAGTAGCTGTGCTGACGAATTGTCATGAAAATCAGTGCACTGGCATGGTAGTACCTAGGGACAGATTTGGTCCAAGGAGACGTATAAAAAGGCATCAGAATTAGGGCTAAGTCTGCATTGGTGCTTTACTGTGCTGTCGCTTTCTGGCTCAGGGGTGTGAAAAAACACACCCCTTCCCTCCCCCCCACTATAAAGCAGTGTTTCCCAAACTATGGGCCGCGGCCTGATACCAGGCCGCAGGAAAAAAGTACTGGGCCTCAGCGTGGTTGCCGGGGTGTTCCGGGCTCCCGGAGTGCCTGTGTGTCACAGGGTCTCCCAAGCCTTTGGCCAGCCAGGGCGGAGTCTGCAGCTGGATCTTCCGGCTCCCGGCAGATGTGTAGCTAAGGGAGGTCGGGGGGGGGGAGGAGGAGAGAGCCGGCCATCAGAAGCAGCACTGGACGGGGGAATCGGGGCGGGGCAGCAGGCGGAAGCAGAGCTGGGCAGGGGGCTGGCCGGGGGGGGTTGG